GTTGGGTGTGTCCTGCGCGTGGGAAGAACTTCACGTTCCTCTGCCCAACTACTCATCGACTACAGCACTACCTTACGTCACAAGACCTGCAGCTAAGTTTTGAGTGACTCAAGTGCGGTGCTGCAACGAAAAGTAGCAGCGTAGTCGTCACAGTCGGGACAGGGTCGGAGTCGTTACCGCACCGGCGGACAAGCGACAAGCACAGTTTTTGGGTCCGCGGAAGTCAACCGATTGAGACGCAGCTGTCCCTGGAACATATTCGCTTGTTAGTCCATGCACGAATGGCATGTAGGGGGAATGCTAGTGAAACGACGCGGAAGATTGATGGAACTTGGGGCGATGCTACGGGTTGCGAAAACGATAGGAGAGGGTTATACGAAGTTCAAAGCTGAAGAGAGCAGTCTGGAGGATCACCCGCGTTCGAGCGTCTACAGGAAATCGATCGCCAAGCTGTTCTTGAGATGGTCGATGAGAATCTCTCATTGACATGAGTTCTACACGTCGAGGCAATCGATCTCTTTACCCGCAAAGTGGCAGGAAGTCATCGAATTGATGGAGAATACTTAATTATTACCATCGTTTTCATAGGGAACAAAGTATTACAAAATCATGATAACCCTTTGGGGACCAGCGCTGATAGGCAGGCAGCGTCGCGTCGCAGCTTGCGCGGCAGCGCAGGAGCGGCATCTACATGTCTGTGAATGCATCTAGACCCCTGCGCGTTTCTCACAACAAGTGATGCCGCCACTACGTTAGTCTCAGGACATCTGACGTCGTCCGGTGAGCATCAAAATGACTCTTATGGTCCGTAAGGTGTCAAAAAACGAAAGGCAAGAACTCTACACATCCTGTTAACTGGAAAACGAAAGAGAAAAGATTACAGAATGGGGTACTTGTAAAACTCTGTCTACCTTGAAGCCTCTTTCCGCTGCTTCTGCTAGCGACTTCCTCCCACGCTTCTTCTCCAAAGGCGCTGAGGATCGTTTACGCTGTTGAAAGCTCTAAACAAATTTGAAGTCAGCATATATCATAGTCACTAAAAACATTAGCAGGCTAAATATAGTGATCATCTAAGTACACCGGTATTCAATTTTGCGGTTCTTTTCCCATTATCGCATTCACTTCTAACTGGTCGACTTCCACGGACCCATGCGGGCGGTCCCGCCAGCGTGGGGAGTGACTCCAACCTCCTCTACCCTGACTAGTCGCTGACTACAGTACCGCTTTTCGCTGGCAAGACCGCACGCGAATCAGTCCAAAACTTAGCTGTGGTCTCTGTAGTTGGCGACTAATCAGGGCAGAGGGTGTAGCAGCTCTCGCGTTGGCAGACACGCCCCAAAGTCAAGCGGTTTGACCTTTGACGACATCGGCCTCCATTTTTTCAGACTTGTTGGTCAATCACTAGCTTAAATCCTGGTGGTTTTCAAACTGTACCTGTGGAAAGGGCCCTCTTAATAAGCAGTTGCAGCGAAAAGAAAACTGAGTTCAACGTCAGCGAACCTATAATATATCTTTGCTCGCGCTAGGCGCACTCATCCAAGACCGCCTGGAGAGGTAGCGATTTTCGTTAAATATTTGGCAAATTCCTTTACAATTCGCAAAAATTTCTGGGGTCTTCCATGCCAGTATTGTAGAAGAGATTTTGTCCTATCTTTCCATGGGCTTAGTAAATTCATTTTCATTTTATAACGCAAATAAACTTGCTATGGATCCACAGCCTAAGCCCAGAGATGCAGAACGTATTCTTCTCTTCGCTCGCTCAGCGCTCCTGTGGAAACCTTCCTAAAACCAAACCTCGCTCCAGAATCGGCAAAATTTACGCTCTAGAATGGTCCGGACAAAGTGCGCACTATTGTTGAACGCATGCGCTCCATTGTTAGACACCGTTTATCATACCGCAACACGCTGGCGGTTAGAGACGCAAAGGGTTGGGTCCATGGTTCCCTAAACGCCTAAAAAGTGTTTTCAAAACCAAAGGGACACAACTCTCCACGAAGGGTGAGGGTTGAATTTGATTGTGACAATGGCCATAACAGTAGCACATGACCTACGCAGTTGATTCTTCCGAGTCAGTCGTCGTTGCTGCTTTCGGCTTCGCAGGTCGAACCTCGTTTCTTTGGCTCGAACAACACCAACACCACTCTCGTCAACACTTGTCATCCCAAGCCTGTAAATAGTAGAAGTTCACTGGGTAGCGACCATAAATTTGGCTCGTTCGAATACTCTGTGACGTCCAAAAAAGTGTGAAACGGCAATCGAAACACTTGCAATCGGAAATAAGACGTACGTGGTGGTCAAAACCTAACTGAAATTACGATCGAAAATGTAGTCTGATCAGAAAGTGGGAAAAATGTGAAGATTTGGCACACTTTCTGTGTGAAGTGTTGCGGTAAGGGATCGAACCAGCAACCTTCTTCTCGATGGACGGGTGCCGAGCGGGAAAGACTAATGAGACAAACAGGTGCTGCCAAGCTGGGGTTTGAAGTCGCAAAGTCGCGGAGGGAGGGGGAGTGGGAGGGGGGGGGGGGGGGAAGTGGAGTTGTTCCCATGTTGGCGACTGGAGTCCTTGCCAGTTAGGCACACCAGTTCGGGTCCACGGAAGCCAACCGGTTGACACTTTCGGGACCGTGGATCCAGCCTCCTCCGAGCTAACTCCCAGCGTGACAACACTGAACGGTCTGCCCCATTTCCTTCGCATCTCCAACCGCCACTGGGGAACAATTCAGTAATAGGTTCAATACCTTCCCACGCTGGGGTCAGAGATGCGGAGGAGGTGGAGCAGACCTTTCAGTGTCCTCACGCTGTGAGGTTAGAAACACAGAGGAGGTGTGTCCACAATGCAGAAACGCTTAAGAAAAATTCTATAGGAGAAGTTCACGGAGAATTCACTCAGCACAAATCCACAATGTGCTCAAATTCAATGATTCAACAAGAGAATTTCAATGAAACGAAATTGTTTTCCTATAGCTGATGGGTTAGAAATGTATGGAACTCTAATCAATGCAAATAGATCGATAAATCAATAAAGGCAGAGGACTTTGATCGATATGAAGAGCGCCTCGGAAGCCTCAGAGCACAAAAACATAGTCTTAGATGAAGGATAAAAGATAAAGTTCTCGGCGATGGTTTAAGTTCGTTTGAGGTGATTGGATGCTTCTCTGGCCTTTACAATGACTCGCAATGGCCTCCCGCTGGATAGAGTCAGTGTCGCTTATCCTCTCAAACAAGTTCGAGACCACTCTGGCGTGAACTTACCGACCCTGGAGGGATGGATGGCTTGGCAAGCCACGAAGGTGAGATCGAACCTTCGATTTTGTGTGCGACGCAGAGCACCTCTAACCACTGCGCCGAATGCGCTCCTATGAATTTAGATATCTACGATGATTTCGACACTTACACTTACTTATGCCTCGACAATGAACTTCAAACTGAACTATATATTGAAGACAGTGCTGGAACCCCGTAGTGCAGTGGTTAGCCCGCGCTTCCGGGAAAGGGAGAACCAGGTTCAACTACCAGGTGAGGTTCAAAGGGTGCATGCCACATATGGATCTGCGAGTAGTAGGCAGAATTCGAGATCAGGCGGGAGCCGAACCCTCACTTCATCCGTATCGGGGAGTGTGTTACCACTACGTCACAGCTGCCGCCGCTCTGCTGTCATCTCTTCTTCGATATAAACTACAGCAGCTGTCAGTAACCAGCCTCTAACGAGCGGTGCCGTGGTAGCACGCAGCCTGGTAAAGACGAAACGCGGGTTCGATTCCCGCCTGGTGTCAAATGTTTTGCTACCACTCGATGCTCAGACAAGCGGCACTACATGCCACTGCATGCTTGTCTGGCTCTCTGCCTGCTTTCCCACAAGACACGACTCCGCCATCTCAGCAGCTGAGTGAGATTTGACACTGCGCGGTAAGCATCAAAATGATTCTCATACTCCCTAAAGGGTTAAGTCTTCGTCCAGAGGTAGAACGTGCTCCTGCAAAGGGTGAGACGCGGGTTCAACTCCTGCCCCAGGCCCAAAGCATTGCATATCACTCAATATCTTGGGTGTAGATGGTCATAACGCCATAACACTGCTAAAAGAACGGTTAAAAAAATTCTTGTACATTGAGAAATCAGAGGTTGGAGCCACTGAACTGACCAGTCGAAGAAAGAGTGGTAGCAAAACGGTGGCCTTGGTGGCACAGTGGTAGCATGCGCCCCTCGGTCAGAGTGGTCGCTAGATCAACTCCCGCCTACGTCCAATTTTTGCGTACCACTCAACTCGATAGTTATCTAAATTGTATCGAATAGAAGGCGATAGAAGAGACCAAATGATACGAGACTGTCAAGAAGATCGGAGTTACAAAAGAAATGCGAAAAAGGAAGACAAGCTCGGCTGTCAACATCATCGTGCTCCCGTTTGCATTGATTTCAATGCATGCCTGGCCCTTGCAATGATTCGTGATGGCCTAGCGAGGCGCAAGATCGGCCCTGCGGTCCTCCAGACAAGCCTGGGGTTACCAATAGGCTAGCCCTGGTGATGGAAGGCTTGGATTAGCCAGCCTGGGGAAGCCAAAGCAAACCAACACCGACCGGACGACGAATCAATAACGACGCCTATCTACAAGCATAAAAGGCGCCCGTCGCCGTAATTACGGCCCAAACACGAAGATTGACGTCACTTATCGTGTGAAGAGAAATTTCCGCACTTACCGCTTACTTGACTGGGTAGTTACTTACTTTTTGTTGTTGTGGTACGTTTTTTCTTTTGAAAATTCGGTGGTGTAGCGGTTAAAACGCGCTCCCGATGAGGGTGGACGCGAGTTCGACTCCAGCCCGAGGTTAAACATTGTGCATGTCAATCACCATCTTTGAATATGCCCTTTCTTCTCTTATTATTACTGTTTTCTTTTTATTTGGGCGGAAAATTCAAGCCTATATGTTAGACGGCGACAAATTTAAGAACCGATCTCATTTGCTGGACCGGAAATTTTCATAGGATTGTTGGTAATCGTTCGAAAGCTTAAATCTCTGTCTAAAACCCTACGTTTCCGGTCTTTGAGAATACACTTTTCTAGAGCTCTAAAATCCAGGATAAAATCGTTTTTCACCCTCACCTTTTGCCTCCATTTTTATGGCGTGTATAATTCGCTGGAAACACGGAAAACATATCAGCGTGTAGAGAATCTTCCGTGGTGTCAGTATCATACGGGTTTATTCGAGGTTTCTGTTGATGAGTGAAGAAATTCCCAATTGAATAACAATATTTGAAACGCGATCGATCGCCCCTCCTCTGCACTCCTCCCCCACCCCCGTTTGCTCCGTAGGGTAGCCGGGTAAAGAAGTTCGTCGGCGGGAATTTGAAACGCTCGCGATTTTCCCGCCAAATGGTATCTCTAGGAAAAAATCAGCACAACGTTGCAATCACTGGAACTTACGCTATCGAATAATTGCTGATAGTTTATAGAAGGAGCTCTGTCCGGCGAGCTGTAGAGCACAAATCTTTGCCTTCTCCCACGGCGCTATCAAAAGAGCTTTTCATTAATATTTGAGCCAACATGTCATGTGGTCTGGTAAGGGCTCTTCTACAGCCCGAGACACGTGTTTCGTCCTTACAGACTCGTCAGCCGGAGAAAACCCGTCGTCTTCCGATCTTTTAGTTAGTTAGTTCTCTCGGGAGCGTCGCACTCCTTATAGTCATCGAAGACGAACGTTTTACACTCTATGTCAAGTGAAATTTTCACCTAACACAGAGTGTTGCGCACTCGATTGCTCGTTGGCTGGTATTTTTTATCATATTATAGCTTTATTTCGAGTGCTTTGTTAAGACCACGCTCAAATTTCAATATATCCTTTCATCATTATTTGAGCCGTGGTCTAAACAAAGCCCTCGAAATGAAAGTATAATTATAATAAAAGTACAGCCAATGAGCAATCGAGTGCACAACACTCTGAGTTAAGTGAATGTTTCACTTGACATAGAGTGTAAAGCGTACGTCGTCGATGACTTTCTATAAGGAGTGTGACGCTCCCGAGAGAGCTGACTAAAAAAGATCGACAGACGACGGGTTTTGCCCGGCTGGCGAGTCTGTAAGGACGAAACACGTGTCTCGGCTGTACAAGAGCCCTTACCAGACCACATGACAAGTTGGCTCAAATGATAATGAAAGGATCTATTGAAATTTGAGCGTGGTCTGAACGAAGCATTCGAATCAAAGGTAAAAGAGCTTTTCAAAAAGCAGAAACGTTTTTGTGTTCTTTGAAACTTGTGTTATCGAATGAGTAATGGCTCTTTAAGAAAGGAGTTTTGTTCAGCAAAATATGAGCGAGATCAAGAAAACGCGTCGTCGTGTGAAACATAATTTTGTTCTGGATTGTAGAGCGCTATAAAATGGTGTTTTAGAAAACCGATCACGCAGGGCGCTAGCCGGAGATTTAGGATTTCTAATGATTACTAGCACTCCTATGAAAGTGCCTGCCCAGCGGGTGAGATAGGTTTTTTAATTTGTCGCCGTCTGATACATAAATACCGGAAGAATTTCCATGTCAATGATATCTAGCGAAAAGCTATCGTATTTTAGTAGAATTGCAGAGATACTCCAGAAATGCCTAAAGAATCAGACGACGATTTCTCTTCACCAGATCCACCTCGGTCACTTTTAGCGGCACCGAGGTAAGTTCTACGCTTTAAGCTCCTAGACGACCCTAATCTTGGGGACCACGCCGCGTGACGTCGCGTCTCACTCAGCTACTGTAACGGCGGCGTTGCGTCTCGGGGCAGGCAGGCAGTAGGCATCTGCGCGTCGATCGCGCTTACAGTTTCTGCCTGGGGACTGATCAACGCCGAGAGCGCTTTCCCCTCATGTTTATTGAGTTCCTCACCTAAAGTAATAGTCACAAAAGCCAACGATAAATTGTGGAATACCTTCCAAAATCATTTTATTTGACCGCCTGTTGCAGTGTTATGATGATTCTGTAAACCCAATGATGTAGAGTGGTGTGCAAAAACGTTTGCGTCGGCCGGGATTTGAACCCAGATCTAACTCTTTCTGGGATCATGTGCTAAACCGTTGCACAGTGCGACGATTCAGCGCACGCTCCCGGAAAGAGTGAGATTTGGGTTCAAATCCCTGGCTGACGCAAACGTTTTTGCACACCATTCTACATCATTGGGTCTGTGGAATACTCTCATGTCTTACTCAGCGAAATAAAGCTTGCTCAAATGTTTCCACATTTGAGATTTGAGCGCTAGCTCAATCTAGCTTAGGGGAGGTAAGTCATAGGTTTAAAATTGGGGTTTCTTCTTAGCAGACTTAGATAACTTGTATCTTTCGGCACGACGTCGCGTCTCACTCAGCTACTGTAACGGCGGTCCCCAAGGTTTGAGGCGAAGAGTTTCGTCGTGAATGGTGAATTGTTATTTCCCTTAGGAACTCCATAAGTCGCAGGAATCTCTACTGTTTGGTCTTTCAAATATTCCAGGCGACCGCAAAAAAAAGGAGACGTTCAGTCAGTTCCTGTTATTTCAGTACAAAGCTCCTCCATGTCCTTGGAATCCTGCGAATTCAAAGCCGGTTAGATTCAACTCAATCAGTTTTGTTTTTTTTAGGCTTTCCGGCAGCTTTCTTGCATTTCAGTGAGATTCTTTTGGCTCAATATAGCATCAACAAGCTTCAAAGTACTCGTAGTCTTCATATTTTCTCTAAAATATTCCTTATCGATAATGTCCAGTGATCTGTAGAACTTTGAAGCTCAGACGGTAATCGAACCCGCATTTTACGCTTTCCGAGGACGGAAAACCTAACCCGTCTGACGTTCACTGTTTTACATATCACATATCATTATTGGATGTATATTTGTAACATTTCAGCACTGCTAAAGAGGGTCAGTGAGAACGATTCTTGCTGTTTTAATTATGTTTCAAAGTTGTTTAGATTAATTTTTTTTTGAAAAATAGGAGGCAGAGTCAAACTTGCGTTTAATATTGCATCCCGGGAAGAGCTCGTAGATGATTCGCACTGACCTGAATGCATGCCTTTTTCCCTGGTTCCATGTTGGACAGAGTTCATACGTGTACTTGGTCTAGTGTATAGCTTCTGGGACAGATATTGTGCCGTAGAAGATGCATTTCTCCAATGTATGCTTCGTGTGTGGGATATATTTCTTGCATGGAAGGCTGCTGATCATATTTTCTAAGAAATCAAATTATTGAATCATCTCGGTATGTGGTATAGTGGTTAGAGGTGCTCTGTGTCGCACACAAAGTCTGTGGTTCGATCTTACGCCGCCTTGGGACCACCAAGCCGTCCATCCCACCGGGGTCGGCAAACTAGTGCCAGACTTGTCTGGGAGGGCAAGCAGCACTGACTCGATGCAGCGGCAGGCCACGGCGAGTCATTGTAAGAGCCAGATGTGCATCCAGTAATCTCGAATGGAACTGGAAATTGAAGGCGAATGTTGATCCATTAGGGATTGATCAACGCCGAGAGCTTTGTCCTTTATCTTTATCCCATTTACACAGTCCGATCTATCATTACAGTTGCTATGTGGATCCCATAGTTTCTTGCACTTGATTCCTATCCGCGCATTCGTTCCGTCTTCGAACGTTGCACGTGCTCCCTTTAGTTGCCGTTTGAAGATATCGTTTTCTTAAGAAGTCACGTAAATGGTGGTCAAGGCTATTCTCCTTACAATCTTAAAGGTAGCCGAACCAAGACCTCCCAAGGCGTTCAGCTCAATCCTTGCAAGAAAGCGAGGGATAGGGAATTGAACCAACGCCTTGTCTATCACCTCGCTTCCTGGTAACTGCATCACTAGCAACTCTGCTACCTCGTCGTTAAAATATGACTACAGGGCAAGGAAGCCGAACGTGATCAGGTCAATTTCGTTGAGTGTAGCTATGTTGCGTTGATTTCACAGATATCGTCAGTGGCGAAAAAGCCAGCCAGTTGGATAAATATCACGGTTTACTGGCCAATCAGTTCCTGGAGCGTTCGTATCGAAATCAGTTGGCAGCGTCGCTAAAGAATTAAATTAC